ATTGAAATGTCATTAAACTTTCTATCTGTAAGAAGTATCTAGAATTCTATTCTAGCTCCTTTTTACTAACACCCAGCCTTATCACCTCAGTCTTTTGGAGTTACCTAGATCTGTTTTTCCAGTACTGGGGATTGAATTTAGGATCTTGCACATGCTAATTATTAAATGCTGTTGACTAATATTTTTTAAATGAGTCAAATCAAGATCTGCACCAAATGCCTCTACTCTTAAATTCAACAATTCTTTTTGCTTTGTTTCTGTACTTACTTCTATGTGAACAATATTTTAATCACATTTTTAGTGAAAATCTAACCACACTGAGAAGAGTAAGTACCATTTTTGGACACGAGCACATGCCAGGTACTCTTCAAGTGTACCCTGGTGCGAAGAGAGCCTAAGTAACTCCCCAGCTCCAGAGCCAGTTTAGCGTTGCCATAGGCATTCTGTCCCTAGTTACCCTTTTTTTCAGAAGCTCTTTTTACTCACTCAAGGCACCTGAGATCTGGCTGAAGTTTTGCTGAATGAGAAGGTTTCAGGATTTCCCAGTAAAGGTGGATTTGTATTGATATGCATCCTATTGGAATACCTAGTTTTCCCATCCCTCTGCCAACTGCTATAAGTCCTGAGCCCAGTACGAATACTTGGGTCATTGATAGTTGGGTCAATCTGAGGTAGTCAACTGATATGCTGATAACCTAACTGTGAGTTTGGTGAATCCAAGTCCATCCTTCAGATCAACATAATAAACACTAAGACAGTTTCTTGGCCTGAAAGGCTGGTGGCCAGATCCAGGGTTGGTGTTAAATTCATTAAATTCTGAGGGAGGGTACCTGGCATTTACCAAAAATCTCACCTGTGTAACAACTTCAGCAAGATGTGCTATTATCAGTAAATTGTAAATTTTATTCTTTATAAATTTGTATTAGCAGAAGACAAACCCTCTATCAAAGCTAGTTTCATTGTGGGAAAGAAACCTAACCTAACTAGCCGATAGAGCCCTCCTGTACAACTGAACGTCGTTATTCGTTCTGATTTGAGGCCCCAAAATCCCATGCTTAAAGGGTAGATTCCTCATAAGCAACTAAGTGCTGTCTCTAAGCATTTTGTTCTACTAAGGAGATCCTATTTACAATTTCACAATGGAAACATCTTGGACCCAGAGATATAGCTCAGCGGTACAGTGCCTGTCTGGCAAGCATGAGGTCCTGAGTTCAATTCCCAGTTTAAAAAAAAAAAAAAAATCTTAAAAATCTCTTTTCAACTGAAATATCTAAACCCAAGTAGAAACCCAAAATGAGAGCTCTGGACAGACTACACCATGGTAGGTAAAATCATTAGAGAAATTAACTAACACAGAATCTGATACCAGAGAAGTAGTGTTGTTGTTGGGACTATAGTGGACCATGTGGTTCAAGAACCTTTGGGAATTGCTTGTGGGGAGAATTTGGAAAGGTTTGGAGATGCTGGTTGAAAAAGTAGAGCTGGAACACCTTAGGTTGTTCTGTATGGGAGATTCTGGTCAAAGCTCAGAAGATCAGAAGGCTGACAGAAATCCTACCCATAAAGACCAGGCTTGGGAAGTTCCTGCTGGGAAGGACTGCACTGGTTGTTGGACTCTAAATGATGTGTGTTATGGCATGGCAAAAAGTTTGTGTGCATTTTGCTCATGTCCAGATATTTTGCTTGAGACTAAGATTAAGGGCAGTGGACTAATTATTCTGACAGAAGAAATTTCAAAGTAGTCAAATGTTGAGGCAGTGTCATGGCTATTGTTGGGGGCTTTTCACCAGATTTATGTTGAGAATTGAGAGCAAGGAGTCCAGAAAGATGATTTAAAATGGGACTTTGGCCAGAAAGGAAGCTTCAACAAAGCTGTGGGCCATAAAGATAGAGCTGAGGAGATCTCAATTGCTGAGAAGGAACAGGAGAATAGAAAAGGTGGCCTGAATAGGAGACTAGAAAAGATGCATCACAAGAAGCAGCACGTCTTCACTTTTGCAGCCTCAAAACTGCAAAAGTGAAAGACTTTGCTTTGAGGAAAAAGCCACAGAGCACCATGTTCCAGAATGGAGGCAGCATAGAAAACTTGTTCCTCAGAAATGGATTCAGAATACCCAGGAATTAAGGCACTCCACCTCTACAGCCAAGAGAGAGGAAAGCCTGGCTATTGCTCTAGCTGGCAGCAAACTTTGGTATCATCCACATGGTGCTGGTTTTAGGTGCATGCAGAATGCAAGAGTTGTGGGGTTAAAAGGGCTTCCACCCCTATTTCAGAAGGCCTGGGAGGCCAGGCAGTGTGCCCCTGAGAGGGCAGTGTGTGAAGCTGGGAGTGTGAAGGTGAAGGTACAGTGGAGACTGCAGAAATTTGGAAAAGCCAGGAATGTGGATCATCTAAAGAAAGCTACAAGGAGGGAGCAAAGCAGGCCTAAGAGAAAAGCTGTAACCTCCAGAAGGGCCATAGGGGTGGAGTTACTCAAGCCCTTTGGAGTTCACAATTTGCCACAGACCTAACGATTTCAGTATTGCTGAAAAGTCCAAGTCCCAAGTTTTCTCTGAGATGCAAGGAAAACCTCTGTAAGCCTCTGTACACATGAAAAGTTAAACACTTCTCAGAGAAGACTTGGGATTTGGACTTTTCAGCAACACTGAAATCGTTAGGACTTTGGCAACTCTTGCAGATGGACTAAATGCCTTTTGCAGAAAGGGATGTGCATAAGTCTTTGGGGATCCAGGGACAAAATGTTATGGTTCTAATGTAATATAACATTGATATACTTAATGCTGACTCTTAAGGATTGTTAAACCTATGTTATAATATTCAAGTTGTGAAATGATAAGAATGAGCATGTCTTTGTATCTGGAGACCAGTTTAAAGAAATACATCTAATTGCTAAGTTGACAAGTGGTGGATTGTAATGATTGATATATTGTGTCAACTTGAGACGTTTAGAAGTTTAACTAAGAGACTCAGCAGGGGGCCAGAGTCCTCATTTTGTAAACATCCTCATGGTGTGCAAGAGGAGGGCACAGGGATGGTGTGAGTGCTACATCCACTGTAAAGGGTGTGGCCTGCTTATTGTATAAGGGAGGAAAAGAGGCTTGTTTTCCCCCTTTTTTGGCTCTTGTTTTTGCTACCTTTTGCCACCATGAACTGTTGGTTCATGCCATTCCACCCTGCCTTGTAGCCAGGAAATTATGAACTGAAACCTCCATAAACTGTGAGCTAAGTAAACCTTTTCTTCCTTAATTTTGACCATCAGGTATTTTGTCTCAGCAATGGGAGAAAAGTAACTAAGACACTATCTCACAATGAAATGTCTTAAAAATCTCTTTTCAACCAAAATATCTAAACCCAACTAGAAACCTGAAATGGGGGCTTTGGATGGACTAAACCATGGCAGGCAAAATCAATAGACTTGATTTTGGGAAATGAGCATGTTTAAGAGGGAAGTAAGTATGTTCAAGTAGACATGTTAGTGATCAAATACTATATATGAAAGTGGACAAAAAGGTCAGCCTTGTGCTGGCCAAGAAAAACCACAGTATCCATAGCAGTCCATCAGCCTGTTGGTTGAACAACCCAAAATCAAACCTCTAAATGGGAGGGCGTTTTGCCCATAAAAAATTAGTATATTACTTGAATGAGCTGTTTGGCTCTTTAACTGTAGTTTAATTGTAGCTATTGTGGACATTGTAGGTTCATGTTCTCTCTAGAAAGAGTTACAGAAGTGAACAAACAGAGGCAGATTGAGTATATAGTACAGAATCCAACTGCAAGAGCATATTCTCCCAATAATCTCAGCGTAAGGTGCTGCCTGAGTAGATGCAGGAAACTAGTAGGAAGAAGACCAGGAAAATAGTACCAAAAAGGAAGAGGCCAGTAACCACATATGGATCCTAGATCATGCCTCCATGACCATCCAGACACACCTAGATGATGCTTCATTAATCCTCCAAATGGCTCAAAAGCCAATCAAATTGACAACCCTGTCACAAAATTAAAATGAGATGAAATCCAAAGCTTGTCTGGACCATATATAGTAAGGTATTGTCTATGGAATTTAAAAAGTTCTCTTTTACAACTGATGGATCTTAACTTACTCTCCTGAGCATTACACTAAAAGTGAGGTCCTCGGATGGATATTAACTTGGAAATAGCTACTGTCAGGGCTTCACACTGGAGTAATTTTTTTAGACCACCAGAGATAGTTACTCTTGAAAACAAGAGATGACTTGCTGGGGGACAGAGAAAAAGTTCCCTAAGCTTTACTAACTTTCAAGCCAAAGATTTATTTTTTCTTTGGCTTATCTCTGAGGCTTCACAAAGCTAAGAGCTAACTTATTCTTGTAGACTTTGGAAAATTTACATTGAATGGATCATCTGAAGTCAAACTGTATCAAGGAGGTGGAAGTTTTAGGTATATATTCACATTTAGGATTCCATGTTTGTTTTCCATTACTCCTTATATACTGGATGATTATTCTGAGGGATTTATATGTATTGAACTATTTAATCACTATAACCTTCCTGTGAGTTTGATTATCTCATTGTATAGGTGAGGAAACTGAGGACAAATAGATTACATAACTTGTTCTAGGTACAAAAGTTGCTATGTTTATATTAGAATTAGAAAACAAACAACCTCATTACAAAATGCACCTTGAAAATAGTAGATAGCATCTTGTTGGACAAAGAAAAAATTTTTTGAGAGGAATAGTGTAGGAGAAGCAGAGTTTCAATTTTCTATTACGAACTCTAGAGGGATGCGGAATCTTCAAGATCTATAGCATTTGTAGCCTTTGGACCTGACAGATGAACAGTGAGAATTGCTTTTGTCTGGTCTTTTAGCAAAGGATGAAGTGTTCAGGAGTATTTGGGCAATTATTAGATTTTAATATCTCATTAGGCAAAACACTCCTTCTTTTGCAGCTACTGAAAACAGCAGACGGAAATAGAGGCAGAACTTATTTTTAAGCACCATACAAACCACCTTCCTCACCATATTTCAAATTCCAGATTGGTGCTGTTGATCTCTGGGTCATCAAAAGCACAGGTCAGTGAGTGCTGGGATCCATCCACTTCCAACTGAGCATAGCAGGAGAATGAGAAATCTGTGTCTAACTCTGCATCTTCCAAATCTCCTGGGAGGAACAAACATGTAGCTGTTACTGAGGTAAAAGAAAATGCATTAAAAAGTCAGATGTGACCTTAATAAAATGGCAGGCTTGTGGCAGACATGAAGGGTGAATATTTTATCTAAAGAAGGAAATACTAGTGGCAAAGACAAGAAAAAAGGAAGAAACCACCCCCCAAAAATTCAATGTGCAGTTTTCTAACAGAAAAGGTTCATCATCCTTAATAAATAAGTCCCAAATATTGTGCTTGAGAGCGCTAGAAGGAGGCACTGAACCAAATATTTTATTAAAACTAGAATCTCTTCTGCTATATCTGTCACAATGAAATGTTTGTACATTTCAAGTAAGAAATACGCTTCAGCCCTCATTCATATGCTACCTATTTTAACCTTTGACTTCATTACTAGTCTGCTTTTATTTCCTTCCAAGGTTTTTTTTTTTCAAGTGACAGAAAATGATAGCTATCATACAGTCAGAAGTTCATTTCTTAAGAGACTGAATTCCCTTCTATAAAAAGCTATCCCATGTAAAGGCAGTGCTAAGATCTCCTTTCTGTGACAATTTAAGGAAACTTATTTGAAGCCACCGACTTAGGCAAACATGGTCAGAAAAATTCAGTCCTGTAAATGTTATGCATACTCCCTTGGTTATTACATATTGTCACTTCATAAGTACTATTTTTTTAATAGATAATAGTGGTATTCTGGAATAAAGTGGGGAATTAGATATTTTTTGAAGTCATTTTTGGAAAGTACAATTTATCACAGATAGTATTTTATTTTTTAATGTGGGTTGCAGACTTTATCGTTAAGTAGATATTTTGTATGCATATTTCACAATATTCAATAGAAAAGTGAAGCTGAAATAAATATACCAGCAAAAATACTCCAACTGCCCCTGAGGAAATCCTAGCAATCAGACCCATTCTGAGATGGCTGAGTGTGAGCCTCTTACTTCTTCTATCAGTACTTGAAATTTGATGCTTCTAAGACTTTAAAATGAATATGGAACATACTAAAATTGAACCCCCACTGAATACAACAGAGGTAGTCCAAACTGCACTCTCTACTTAAGTAACCTGGTAGACCTGTGGGAAAGTCAGTGATTTAGTTGTAAAGGGACCAACCACTTGAGTGACAAGTGGTTTCAGTTAAAGCAACACATCTCTAACAACTCAGCTAGATCAGAGCTGTGGGCACTGCTCCCAACACAGATGTTTGTCTTTTTTACCTTTACCAGACTCTGTCTAGCTCCTGATTCTACCACCAGCGAGGCTCGCTGTGTCATTTCAGCAGAGTACAGCCCTTTCCCTGGTGATGATGTTAAGTAACATGAGGCAGCCATCATTTAGTGCTCGGCCTTGAACTATGTTTCTTTATAATTTTGTAGACTTTGTCTTTTTTCTAAGAGGAATAGGACAGTTCTGAGTGAGTTGAGCTTCCTTTATATGATAATTCTCACATTGTCTTGAACTTTTCTTTGGATGGTCCATGGACCTTGCACAACAGAGCATACGTTACTATATAGATTCAGTCATCTTGTGGGTCATCTTTATCTCTGTAATTTTGCAATACACGATGTAAACTAGAGAGAAGACACTCTTGTAGATGCCAGGCCCCAGGAGAAGAACTCCCACAGGCAGCCATTCAATCTGGCAAGGTATGTTTGTTGCATAATCTCACATAGTATGTAAATCACTGTTCATTCAATTTTTCCTGCACTTAAGAAAGCAGCTGCATTAAACAGCAAACAACTCATTGGCTCCTTAGCAGGTCTAGGCAGAATTTCTCAGTAACCAAAAAAAGTTCTCCCGTAAAATTGCATTGTATTCAGCAAAGAGGATGTTCTACTTAATGTGACCTGAAATTTTTTAGGTAAAACTGGGGTAAACAGACTTTTGTTTTTATTAGTGGAGTGGTGTAGGTTTAAATTCTAGTTATTTTGCTGTAGTTATGGCCCTTTATCAGGTTGTTTGTAGGGTTTTCATATATAAATTCATGTTATTGAAATCATTGAATAAATCTATGGAAAGTTAGTTTAGAAGACAGCAAACACTCCATTAGTTCAGAACTGTCATAGTTTTCAAGAAATAAATGATGGAAAAATAGGTATTCTAATTCTGAAATTAGAATGGATAATTGGAGTTCTTTTGAAAAAGGGTTCTGTATCAAGTGAAGGTATTATCATGTGGTTTTGAAATTACATAGCACTTTTCCTCTTTTGGTTTTCTGAGACAGGGTTTCACTGGCCCTGAATCACTAGGTAGTCCAGGCTGGCTTTGAACTCATATTGAGCCTCCTGCTTCAGCCTCCCAAATTCTAGGATTACAGGCATGCACCACCATGTCCCTTAGCACTTTTCAACAGTGAGTTAATCTATTACTTTTAAATGCTCAAGTGTTCATATTATTATTATTTAAATATCTAATGATTTAAATTAAAATTTTTATAAAAATTTAGATTTTTTGAAATATGTTTTACAGGCAAGGCAGTGTGGTTTAGAAGACTTCTTCCTACCGCATGGAGTTAGTTGACTGAATGGAACAATTTAAATCACTTGGGTTTTAAAAAAGTATTCTTTCCTTTCTTTCTGGTCTTTATTGGCCTTGTGGTTATGAGTGGACTAACTTTTCTTTTAATAAATAGCAACTGATCATTTTGTAAATTCCTTGTCTCCAAACTGGCAAATATCTTGATATGGTCATGTGAATGGGGAGTTACAGACCTAAAAATATCTGATATTTTAAAAGTTGAAGTGAAAACCCAGTTTTCAGTTGACGTTCTTATTTCTTTAAAAAATTTTATGACCACAGGGGAGAAATAGGGCAACACATTACATCAAAGATAATAAAGTTGTCATGTTTCCTGTCATGCCAATAAGGAAATAGCATAGAATATGATCATCCTTCAAAAAGTGATTTATACACGATCATGATATGAAAAATGTCACCCCTCTGACAATCCCCTTAAATGCAAGGGTTTTCCATCGTTGCTAAGTACTAAGTCAACTGGCTCAAAATATCTAAGCTGAGGAAACATGACTAAGGAAACATGACTCAAAATGTCTAAATTGAAGCCGTAGACTGATGAGTTGATACCGTCCTTTACAAAAACACTATTTACCTCTTAGAGTGAAGGGGCTAAATTTGTAAGAATGAATTGCTGGTCCAAGTTCTCAGGGGCTCCTGCAGCTACTAGATACTTTTGTCTATGGTTTTATTGTAATTGTAATGTACTTTTTACATATCCAGGATCTGCTTCTATGTACTAAGCATTTCAAGCATTCCAGAGAATTATTCCATATCATACACTTGTTGACTATAAAGCAATTGTGTATTTCAATGAGATAACTCATTCAACTCTGCTTCTGTTATTCACCAAGCATCTCTCACCAGTCTGTCCGAACTAACGTATCGTGAAGAAATGTTCGCACATTTATTTAATGGCTATTATATTCTGGATGCTGGCTTAATTGCTAGGTGATACAACACTCATCAATGCAACTGGAACTATTATTTCTGGACTTTACCACATCAGGGAAAAGTATGCCTTTGGAACCTCTTAAAAAGCCAAATGAAACAAATCCAGCTCAATTTTCTGACAATATAAAACTACCTTAGAGATTTTCCAATGAGCATAATTGCAGCATCTGTTCCAGTGTTCTTTTGTGAGCTAGAAGCATCAATCAGCATTTAAGATCCCGATTTGAAAAGCCCCATGCACTTCTTTTTAACAATTCTGACGCATTAGAAGCCACCACAGTATGTCCCTATAAACCCATATCAGGCATTAGAACACACAAATGACTGAGTAAATGTTAAATTCTTGAATTCCATAGCAACCAGGTGGCCTGCTCAGGTCTGTTAGGGAAATGAGTAACCTGGAGCATATGCTAGAGATAATCTGATATTCCCCCCAAAAAGTAAGAGATGACTCACCATTCTGCACATAGCCACTTTCTCCAGAAACAGCACGAAGTAAATAGAAAACTACAGCAAAAGCTGTACCTAGAATTGTCATTCTGAGAGAGAGAGAGAGAGAGAGAGAGAGAGAGTCAGAGACAGATAGAGACGGACAGAGACAGAGACCGAGAGACAGAGAGAGAGAGAAACAGGAGCAAACAGCAGAGAGCAGAAGTGCGAGCCTGTATGTACAAATGAATGAGAGACGGGGAGAGGTCTAGGTCTACAGCTTAATAGTTAACCACAAGTAGGGGAAGTATACACACAGCGTACAACAAGGCAAGTGCCAGAAACAGGAAGTGTGAGTAAAAGTATTACTGCTGTAAGCAGAGGGAGAGGAAATGAAGAGGTACAGCAATTTAAATTATTCTACCTCTGTGGTACTCCTTGCGGACCCTGAAATCACTGTGCTTACTTTGGAATAAGGTTGAAGATTTCATACCAAAGTTCATACTTGAGAGAGTTCATACTCTCTCAGACTAGAGCCCAATTTAAAAGGACCACAAGACAAAAATCTAAACTTTCAAAGTTAATCAATTGTTTATTTCCGGTGAGTTTTGGTTTATATTGTATAAAGTAGTTTATAGTAAGTTTATTTTCTCTTTCAGTTTTTATTTTCCGTTAGTACACCTTTGTAGTACATGATGATCACATTCCTTGTAGGGAATGGATACACGTACAGAGCACGTCTGAATTCTTTTTTCCATTCTCTTCCTCTTTCCTCCCTTCCCCTCCCACAGTAAGTTTACTTTGAAGACTTTACTTGCTATCTTTTAGTTTCCAGAATCACAGTTTTTTTTCTTTTGTTTTCCTGGGTATATTCCTAGCACTTATCCTTAACTCACTCATCATAGTAGGCATTCATTCAAGAATTGCTTATGTTAAATGTAGGTCTTGGAAAACTGAGCCAACGGCAAAATTGACCCCTCTTTCTGTTCATGTAATATGATTTATTGGAAAATAATCTCGCCTATTTTTTTGTGTATGGTCTACAGATGCTTTCACACAGAAATGATAGAGCTAAGTAGATGAGACAGGTATGATGCAATGGACAAATAGTAAATCACTACCACCTGCTTCCTTGTAGAAAGTCGAGTGATCGTCTGTTCAAAAGATAGAAGAGTTACTTTCTTTTTGTATTTTAATGGGATTTTATTTGTGAAAATCTGATTGCCATCCATCTTCTAAGGAACATAGAGCACACACCGATCATGCTGGTACTTATGTGTACAGGGCAGATGCCTGAAACATGACACACATAATTCAGGCTCTCTAAACTTGGGTGCCCATCAAAATTATTTCCAACCTTGCTTCATGGTTAAAGTGGTAGGTGTGCTAAGATTGGCTGACTTCTTGGTAATTGATAAATTGTTTTTTAAGCCATTATCCATGTCCAAAGGTACTAGTTTATATTAGTCCAGTCATTAGTGGACAGATAACATTTCTTGTAAGATATAATTCTACTTAGATCTCCGAGTCATCTAACCTTGATTCTAGCCATAAAGCCACACCCTTTGATTCACAGTGGCTCTCTTTTGGAGGAAGGTGTAAGACTGTAATTATAAGGTGATGAGTTCAGAGGACAGAAAAGGACAGTGAGTTAGGAATTTCTGTTTGATTCCCTACTATTGGGTAGATTGTTCCTATTGGAATATAAAAATGGCTAACTTAGTAGAGATATAAAGCATTGTTCCTGGTGTGAAACAAATCGAAGTCTCCAAAAGCTAAATAAATTACCCTGTCTCATCATTATAGTTATTGTGGTGATTTAATAAGATTAGCAAAGAGCAGGTGAAGTGTCTGTACATTCTTGTCTGCGCATTCTCATTTTTTGAAGCTGATGCAAAGACAAATATGGTCTATACCAGTTATAATGCCATGATCTGTAATACAAACTCCAGGAAGCAATAATTCAACTGACAGGGTCATATTCTGTTACTTCCATCTGTCTGAAACTTCTTTTGGCATTCTAACATACTTTGCAAGCCATACAAAGAGAGATGAACCTACCGATCTCATAGAAAGACTCCTAATACCAACTGGTCAAGTATCTCCTGTCTTCCTTGTTTTTTGATTTTTCAGGCCATGTTGTACATCAGGCAGTGATTTGTGTCTTCATGACTATTCTTGTTTTGAAAGCTTGGTTAGAAAATTGTAAGTCTTATTCATAAATTTTGGTATGTTTGTGCACTGAGCTGAATATCCTTTCTAGAAAGTAGTGATTATAAATTCCCAGAAGTAAGCAAATGTTCAAGGAGCAATCACAAGTTCTATATATTTGCCAACGAAGATCTCATGAGCATTTCTCAAACTGTCACTCAACAAGTGAGTAATTGGGTCATGTCTCTTTAAATTCTCTTGTTTATAATGTAAGTGGACTATCATTTTGATTGTATCTCTTTCCTTTAGTTGTGAAGATGTGAAAGAACAAAGTCAAGACACAATATTTTTGTACAGCATGTGCTAGTTTGCTCAGGGGATTTCCACTAGTGTGCTTACCCATTTTGGGTAAGGTAAAAGATGCCAAAAGGACCTTCGTAATAAACTAAATAAAGTATAGTTAATTCAGTGAATAATGCGATGTGTCACTCATCCTTCTAGATATTGTGGGCGAATGGTGGTACTTTCTTTACTCTGATCTGATTAGTCCTTTGAAACTTACAAAAACTAAGGAAGAACAGCCTGGTTTCACATAACCTCTGGATGAAACACATTTACTAATTCGCTTTGTCATCACTGCTTGTAAGACAAACACAGACAGAAGAATGAGATCAGGAAGAACAACAAACCTGAGCTTCCAACGGTGCAATCAGGACCCAAGCATCTGAGCGTGAGTGAAGTAGGTTCTTGAGCATACCTGTTTGCTTGAATCATCCAACTTCTTTTCTCTTATCATTTCCTTTCATCATTACCTTTTTGTGTCCCTCTTAGAGGTGTTGTCTTTTTTGTCTCATGTGTTTCTACAATGTGATGTAATATTAAAAGAGAATGTCATTTTACTGTTTCTCGAAAGCAGAACCTACCGATCTCATAGAAAGACTCCCAGTACCAACTGGGCAAGTATCTCCTGTCTTCCTTGTTTTTTGATTTTTCAGGCCGTGTGTGAAACACACCAAATTCATAAAAAACAATTTTATTTTTGTTACATATTGTGAAAGCTTACAAGATATTGAGTAGTGAAGCCCTAAAGAGTTTTTTTTTGTTTGTTTTGTTTTTTGAGACAGGGTCTTGCTATGCAGTTCATTCAGGCTGGCCTTGAGCTCACTTTGTGTAGCCCAGGCTGGCCTCAAACTTGCAACGATCCTCCTGCCTCAGCCTCCCAAGTGCTGGGATTACAGGCGTGCACCATCACGCCCGACAGAGGCCCTAAAGAGTTAAGAGAGCTGAACTTTCACTGAAATTTCAGATCCTGGAATCTGGATGTTACAGGAATACATGTACACTTTATTTGATTTTTTTTTTTGTTGGTCATTAACCCAGTTAAAGTTCAATCCAGGAAAATCCATACCTTCCGTCTATTTCCTCATTAGTAAGAATAAAAGTTTTACTGGGCAAACTCAAGCTAGCATTTAAACTTCTTTCTACTCTGTATCATTTAGATTTATCTCTTAGGATTAAAAGTTTTACTTCTGTCTTTTACAGAAATTACAAATTGAGTGGAACAGATACAAATGCATCACCTGTGTTTCAGCACCCTTGGGAAATATGCTAGTTCCAGAGTAAAAGTAGTTCTATGAGTCAGTGTTTACATGGGTTTATAAAAACACCCTCAAGCCTCTAGTAATTGTCCCCAATGAGAATAATTTAAGCGTCCTTTACCTTCTGCTTGTATATTGAGAACAATAAAGTGAAACACTCCCACCGCCCCCACCAATAATAGCGTGTATTGAAACAGTAATATCCTAGGCAAAATGTTGAAAAATACTCAAAAATTTCAAAGCCCATTCTATGAAATCTTTGCTAATCCTCTTCTAACTAATAACTTACCTTCCTTAAATAATGGATTTTATTCTTAAAGTGAGAAACAGTCTTAGGGACTTGTCTTCTTCGGGTCGGAGGTGGGAATGGAGGAAAGCCTGGGCAGTGGAGGGAATAGTGACTCCCTCAAAGCTATGGAAAAAGAGAAATGAGCATTCAAAAGTAAGTGAAGAGAGCTGTAGAGGAACTTCCTGTTGCTCTAGTCCCAGACTCGTTGCCTTGATAATTCGATCAGTTTATGCTGAGTCAGTCCCTAGGGTTCTGAGGGGATGTCCCAGAATCTTGAAGTTTCATTTCCAGGGGCAGAGCGTTTTCCTTGCTGTGCTTCTTCTCCCATCTTTCTTGCCTCCCTACCCCACGGTGTCACTCCATGTTCTGCTCCTGTCCCTGTGGACGCAGTTTGAAATGTCACACTTGTGTTGTTTTTCCATGATTTTAGCTTGTATCTTTGGGTATAACAAACATGGAATCTTTGAGTATTCACTTTTTGCTCCTTGCTGAAGACATTTCATCAGAAAGGGAATATTTTGATTCTAAGGCATGTTCTGACTGTTGGGGCTACTGGTCAGGAAGTGATGAAATATTTGTAGAGGGACATCAGTTCAAGAGCCATACTCTTCCCCTGGCGACGGGACATCACAAACACATCACTGTCAAATGCCAGACAAAAGAAAACATTCACCATGCAAGAAAAAGAAAGGAAGGAGAAAACATCCAGTTAATAATTTTAACCAAAATGTAAGAATTTTACTTGGAATTTTGAAGGTCAAATTTTTTACTGCTGGTAGAATATAAAGTAAAAATAAAGTTGTTTTACATAAATAAAAGATCACATTTCTTGCACACATGAGTATTTTTCTGCAGTTTGAAAAACAGCACAGTTTTTATATTGCCATGGACTGAGTCAGCCTGAATAGAAAGAGCTGGGCACTTAGGGTTCAAGTGAGGTCAAGAGCAGGAATCTCTTATTTTACAGATATTCTCACCGAGCCACACTAATTCTAGGTAACGTCCGACTTCATCTACTTGCAGCAGTTCCAAGAGACCTGCTTACAAAGCTGGATCATAACTTCTGAGATTCATTCTATGGGCAAACGTTAAAAAGCTCCAGGGTTCACTGTACTTCTCTGTAGTAAGAAGGATATATCTTGTGGAAGATTTCTTCAAAGCAACAGCCAGGAACAAAGGATGTCATATGGGCTTCCTACCTAAAATAGGAGATATAGAGCTGCACTGGTTTGGATAGAAACAAGGAAGGGACATGAGTTTGTGAGTTTTTCCATAAAGTTGATGGAACTCTGATAGAGGGTGGATACAAAACTGGCATGTCCATTTGTGCTCTCACTTGGGGTCCACAGGTAGATAAGGGGGTAGCCAAGAAGTTCCCGCTTGACAGTTCACAAAATTTGCTGTCCATCTTTCAGGAAGAAGATCAATTGCTTTTCCCAAATTCCCAAAAGTCTATGATCTTAAAGATGTTAAAAGCAAACTTCCATCTGACTTGAAGTGGAAGGTGGGTGATCAGACACAAAGAGGTCAAGCCAAGGCTTTAGCCCCTGCAGCTGTCCCTGCTTCCCTGATTTGAGAATTTTCTTTTCTAATAGTTCTCAACCCTGGCTGAGCGTCCAGCTTACTATGGAACATGTAAAGTTAGGTCTTTTTAGTATTGTTCTCAACATCTAGTGCTGCAGTATCTGCTAGGACAGGCCTGGAAGCCCATTGTGAATTCTCGACGCAGGAGCGATGGAAGCCTACTTGCCTATATTGCTCTGCCACAGCCCTGCCTGCTCCTCCCAGGAACCTGAACGTGGGTACAGTTTTCATTAACAGCTGTGAATATTAGAGCCTTTATTTCCCCCTGCCTTTCCATGTTACATTTTGCAAACTCCTTTCTTTTTGTTTAGTAGAGTTGGACTTTTCTGAAAAGGTCTTAATGGGGAGAAAAATAAACTAAAATAATAACAAAGAGTTTATGAACAAACTTTTTTTTGCTTAGATGCCTTAGTGAAGCCTTAGCAGGAATTAACTAAGAGCTATTTAATTCAGATGTTTCTCCTTTTATGCCTTAGACCTGACCAGTCTCAATCCCAAATCCATCATCCTTGCATCCCTTTCTTACCTGTTTTCATTTCTTTTGGAAATGACCAGTCCTCTTCTCACCCCTAAAAATCCTCCATCTTCAGAAGAATTAGTTCAGTTGTTTTCCTTCAGTATCCTTGGCATGCCCAGGCCCCCAGACTAAAAGTACAAGGTCAGGATAGAAGCCTCCTGAGACCACTATCCATTAGGTTCCCAGCTGCTTGGTTGTCTTGCTTTATTTTCTGTTCTATGTCACTTCACCATTGTTTTCATATCCAATCTTGTCACAGGCCATGTGGCCATTCTGCCAACCTGAAATGAAAGAACTCTCTGAGTCAGGATTGCCAACTATGTTATTCCCGTGTAAGTAAATTCTCCAGTATAACCACTGAAAAAGAACCAAGGGAGCTTCATTACTATAATCAAGCTCATGTCCTCTTTCCTTTTGCTGCATACAGGCCATACATTTCTACCTTCTGTATCACTTGCCCCAGTTCCAACCTCTCCCAAGGCCTGGTTAATGGCAGCCTTTATCTATCTTACTGGAAAGACAGTAACGTAATGTCATATTGTTTGAGATCCAGAGTACACCAGAAGTCTTCAAATTGTTTTCTAGATTTTTCTAGGAAGAATTATATTGTATGCAAGTATGAGAGTGCCTCATTCTTTTGCATGTGTATACCCAGTTGATGGAAAACTTACTTGTTGAAATGATTGCTCTTTTTCTTTTCAATTGCTCCATCACTGTTGTCTGAAATAAGTTAACCATAAATTTGAGGTTACCTTTAGGGCTCTGAAATCTATATTTATCTTTATGGCAATACTGCACTGTTTCATACCATAACTTTGTAGTAAGCTTTGAAATTGGGAAGTGTGAGTTCTCCAACTTTGTTCTCTCTTTTTTCAAGATTGTTTTGACTATTTTAAGTTCCTTTCACTTCCATATAAACTTTAGAATCAGTTTACTAACTTCTAAACCTGAAGTTTATGGAATTTGATAGGACCGCATTGAATCTGAAGACCAGCTTTACGAGTATTGTTATCCTAGGTCTTGTAGTTCGTTAATGTACTTTTCATTAAGGTTTCATTCTAAAGTTTTCTCTTTCAATCATGTTTTGTAGTTTTCATTATACAAGTCTTAAGCTTTACATCTTAAACATGCTTCTAAATTCTTTATTTTTTTCTTTCTGGTGCCTTTAGTTTTCATTTCATGCTGTTGATTTCTTGTGTGTAAATACAATTGCTCTTAGCAATTGATTACCAAATATTGATCTTATTACTTGCAATCTTTCTGAGATTATTTATTAGTTCTAATAGTTTCTTTCCTTCTGTGCATTTTCTGGGAATATAGAAAATTTTCTGTGAGTAAGATCTGTCATAAGTAAACAGAAATAGATTTACTTATTTCTTCCATTCTGGAGGCCTTTTACTTCTTTTAGTTAATTAATTACACTAGTTAGGTAGGATCTCTTATATCAAGGTGAATAGCACTTATGAAGGAAGATATCTTTGCCTTCTTCTTGACCTTAGGGAGAAAGGATTCTTTCACTATTAAAAACAATATATTTTCAGATACCATTTATCTTGCTGAGCAATTACCCCTAATTTGTTGAGTATCTTAATCATGAACATTGTTGGGTTTTCAAATGCTTTGTCTGCATCTACTGAGATGACACGTACTATTCATTTTTTAATTCAACTAATATACTGTTTTAGTTTTGCTCATTTTTAGATGTTAAGTCAACATCCCATTCCTGGGATAAATCTTATTTGCTAATGGCTTTATAATATTATTGAATTCAAGTTATTAGTATTTTGTTGGGAATTTTTATATATGTATTCCAAGAGGATATTGATTTGTGGTTTTCTTGTAATGTCTTTATCTGGTTTTACTAGAGAGCAGTGCTGACATCGCAGGGTAAATTGGGAAGAATTCCATCCTTTTCTATTTTTTGAATAGTTTGTCAGACATAGGAATCAAATTTTTTCAATGTTTAGTATGATTTATCTCAAAAGCCATTTGTTCTGGGATTTTATTTGTGGGAAGTTTTAAAACATTATTAACTTGAAACCCAGAGTAAAAATACAGAGCAAAACAAAAAATAGATAATAGGAAATAGAGAGATAGGTCATTCTCAAAGGGGAAGAGGATCAAGAGGTGGAAGGAGGGGGAGGGGTGCGCTTAAAAAAGAATTGGAATGTATGTATAAGTACTGACTCCACATTGAGAATGTAAACACGTGCCGCAGACATGAACCAAAACAAAGGAAGAGGATCAACAGATGGGTGGAAGGAGATGGGAGGGAAGAGAAAGGGGATGAAAAGAAGAATGATGGTGTATTATTTAAATGTACCAATATCCCAGTGGATTTTAAACATTACTTGCTATGTATGTGCTAATAAACTAAACTAAAAAAAAAAACTTGATTAACTTGAGACCATGATGTTACACGAAATAAATCGGACACAGAAACTTGAAAACCACATGGCTTCTATTACATAAGAAATTAAAAATATAAAGAAAGAGAAAATAAAAGATAGATAACAGGAAATGGACAGGCAGATCTTTTGTAATGGGAAAGGGAACCCAGAGATGGAGGAGGGCAGAGAGGTGGGGGGAGATTAAGAAGATGAGGAAAGGAATAGGGAGGTGTTACATACATGTACCAGCTCCACACAAAGGATGTAATCAGTATGTAATGGTACCAATGAAAATTAAAATTTAATGATAATAAAATGATATCTGAAAAAAGGAAATTATTAACTCAGTTTCTTTACTTGTTTAGAATATTCAGAATTTCTATTTCTTCTCGAGTGAATTTTGGTACTTTGTATTTCTAGAAATTTATTTATCCTCTAGGTTAATTTGTTGGCATATGGTTGGTGATGGCATTCTCATAACTAATTTTATTATTGTAAAGTCAGTAGGGATGGTTCTTCCTTCATTTCTGACTTTATTAATTAAAATCTTTTCTCTTTTTTTCTCACATGGTCTAGCTAAATCCTTTTGTCAATTTTATTAATCTTTTCAATAGCATCTTTCTAACGTACAAATAAAAATCTATGGAGAGGAGAAAAGAGAAGAGGGAAATACCTCTTAAAAGTCTGTTCTAATATCTGATTGGGGGAAGTATTACTGAAAAGGAAGTCAGGCTTTCGTATTCTACTGTGAATAAGTGGAATCACAGTACAAATACAGGAAGAGATGAATCATAGTCCAGATGATGTGATTTGAAGAATTATATGTTGTTCATGAGACTTCAGTGAGATGAATCAAAAATCTTTTCTTTTATATTGTGATATGCTCATATATTTGCACAAAGGACAGAGAGCTCTTCTTTCAAGCTACATTTTATTTCATAGTAGAGACAAGAACAGTGGAAAGCATGTTTGACTAGGAGGACAGGGAGGTAATCTTTTGGGGTTGAGGGAGGGGAAAAGATGAGTGTGTGGTTGAATGAACTATGGCCTGCCCT